TATGAAATTGATTAAGTAATCAAGTTGGTAATTGATAATGACGTCATAATTGAAAAGAAAAAGAATATTCCGCAATTTTGATTAAGTGTAGCTTAATACGATGTAATGATAATACTACCGGATATATACGGGGTGTTACATTTTATGGTATCAGAGCAACGGTTCAAGGGAAAAGCCTGTATGTATTGCAATGATTAGGACGTTTGGTTGTGTCTGTTTTGTGTGTTTGCTCCGTCGAGTATTATTATGATAATGCACATGTGATCACATTGCGTGGGCCTGATCAACTCATAATTTGTGTAACTTGTGCAGAGTTATGGTAAGACCCTGGAGAAACCGCGAGACTTCGGAGGATCAGCCCGATCCTGTCCTGGCTGCATTGGCTGAGATGCAGGTGGCCCGACAAGCCGACCAGAAGGCCATGAGAATGGCAAACCAGGCCATGCTGGATGTCGTCAGAGAGGCGAACAGGAAGGCCACTGAGGACGTGTTGGAGGCCAACCGTCTGGCGAACATGACGATGTTTAGAGTTATGTTGGAGGATATGAGGAATGGTCCTGCTGTTGACCATGTTCCTCCGCCACCACCACCTCCACCCAGTCTGCAGGATGACTCTCAGAGTCAGATGGGTGATGGCAGTCACGTTGCGAGGGCCATGCAGACCGTCCCTGTTTTTGTTGAGGATCGAGATGAGATCGATCGCCGGCTGAATGCTTTCCGTAAGCATAAGCCACCTGCCTTTGATGGATCCTTTGATCCTGTTGCTGTGGTGCGTTGGCTACAGGCGTTGGACAAGATATTTCGGGTCATACAGTGCACAGATCCGCAGAAGCTGATGTTCGCTACTTACATGCTGGAGGGCGATGCCCACGAGTGGTGGACGAACACTTCTCACATTTACGAGATGCAGGGCCATCGGATGACGTGGCCATTGTTCGAGGATTTCTTCTTGGGTCAGTACTTTTCGTATGACGCTCGGAGAGGCAGCAGGGAGAGTTTGACCGTTTGGTTCAGGGCTCGTTGTCTGTGGACGAGTACACGGCCAAGTTCAACCAGTTGGTGAAGTTTGCACACTTCAGGATGGCAAGGCCTACTCCTACATTCTTGGCGGCTAAGTTCCGCAGGGGACTTAGTGAGGATATTGCTGGTTACCTTGCTGGTTCTGCTTCTAGAGACTTTGGGACACTGGTTCAGCAGTGTCGTGATATTGAGGATTTCTACAGCTCCAGTAAGCCCAAGAAGGCCAAGGTTGCTGAGGCGACGAAGGTTGTAGCTGGTAGTTCCACTTCTTGGAGAGACATGAAGTTTGGGAGCAAGGGTAAAGGAAAACAGATGGCAGCTCGGCAGGCGCCGAATCAGTTTAAGAGGACTTCTGCTCAGGGGAGCGCAGCGAGACTTCCTGCTCCCAGGTGTTCGGGATGCGGGAAGACTCATTTTGGGTCGTGTTCTACCGGCCAGTTGATTTGCTTTCAGTGTGGCAAGGAGGGCTACTGCAGTGCAGGCAGTGCAACTTCAGATGGTCCCCCTTCCACCTACTTCGGCACCGGCAGTGCCACCATCTTCTGGGAGAGTTTATACTCTGGATTGTCAGCAGTTGGATAGAGCTCCGAACCTTGTTAGAGGTACAGTTACTATTGGTGCATCATTTGTTGATGTCTTGTTTGACTCTGGGGCTACGCATTCGTTTGTTGCTACCCCGATTGTTGTGGGGCTTGAGTTGCCCATGTCTGTTCTTTCTCCACCGTTGCAGGTGACCACCGCCACCGGAGAAAAGTGTGATTCTACCACTGTACATCGAGATGTCGTGTTTCAGTGTGAGTGTCGTGAGTTCTCGGTAGATCTGATAGGATTGTCGATGGCCAACTTGGAGGTTATTCTGGGCATGGATTGGTTGTCCAGGAATTGTGCATTGATTGACTGTTGTGCCAAGCGTGTGGTGATGTCTCCGTGTGATTCCACAGCTAGTTCCTCGCCGTACATTTTGTTGCTGCAGGCTAGGAGAGCCTTGAGAGCAGGGGCATTTGGATATGTCATGTTGGTAGGTTTGGTGAGTGGGACACATGAGGATATCACTGGCATTCCTGTGGTGAGGGAATTCCTCGAGGTATTTCCTGAGGAGATTCCTGAGTTTCCGCCACAGAGGGAGATAAAGTTCTCCATTGATCTGTTGCCTGGTGTAGGGCCTATTTCATTAGCTCCATACCGGATGTCGCCACCGGAGCTGGCAGAGCTGAAGAAGCATATTGAGGATCTTTTAGCGAGAGATTTCATTCGACCGAGTGTGTCTCCTTGGGGAGCACCGGTCATCTTTGTGAAGAAGAAGGATGTGACAATGCGATTGTGCACCGACTACAGGCAGCTGAACAAGGTGACAATCAAGAACAAGTATCCCCTTCCTCGGATTGATGATCCGTTGGATCAGCTCAGGGGTGCTTGCGTGTATTCAAAGATTGATCTCCGGTCCGGATACCATCAGATTCAGGTGAAGCCGGAGGATGTCCCTAAGACCGCATTTCGTTCGAGATACGGTCACTTTGAGTATTTGGTGATTCCGTTTGGACTCACCAATGTACCTGCTGTGTTCATGGATTACATGAACCGGATTTTCCAGTCGTACCTGGATCAGTTTGTGATCGTCTTCATTGACGATATTTTGATTTACTCCAAGACGGAGGAGGAGCATGTGGAGCATCTGAGGATTGTTCTGCAAGTGCTGAAGGAGAAGAAGCTGTATGCGAAACCTTCAAAGTGTGAGTTTTGGCTCAAGTCTGTGAAGTTTCTCGGGCATGTTATTTCTGCTGAAGGAGTTGCAGTGGATCCGAACAAGATCGAGGCCATACTGGATTGGGAGAGACCCAAGACAGTTATGGAAGTGAAGAGCTTTCTGGGTCTGGCAGGTTACTATCGGAGGTTCATCAAGGGTTTCTCCACGATGGTTCTCCCTTTGACTCGCCTTACCCGGAAGGAGACTCCATTTGTGTGGACTCACGAGTTTGAGGTTTGTTTTCAGGAGTTGAAGGAGAGACTGACTACTGCACCTGTGTTGGTCCTTCCTGATCCTGCGCTCGAGATTGAGCTTTACACCGACGCCTCCGGGAAGGGGATAGGTTGTGTGTTGATGCAGTTGGGCAAAGTGATTGCCTATGCTTCGAGGCAGTTGAAACCTCATTTAGAGAACTACCCTACTCATGACTTGGAATTGGCTGCTATTGTGTTTGCTTTCAAGATTTGGAGGCATTATCTGTTTGGTTTGAGGTTTGTGGTGTTCAGTGACCACAAGAGTTTGAAGTACCTGTTCGACCAGAAGGAGTTGAACATGAGGCAGAGGAGATGGATGGAGTTCATAAAGGACTACGACTTCGAGCTGAGGTATCATCCTGGAAAGGCCAATGTGGTAGCTGATGCTTTGAGTCGGAAATCCAGTAGCTCATCCAGTTTGTTACTTGGTAACTTTGATGTGGTTGAGAAGTTTCGAAACCTAGCAGTGACCGCTCCGCGTGAGGGTGTACTTCTCGAGATGGAAGCAGCAGACGTCGTGAACGAGCTGTTAGAAAAGATCAAAGAGGCACAAGTTCAGAGAGAGTGTCTGGATTATGTGAAGAACCAAGACGGTGTGTTTTGGAATGATGGTGGACTTCTTTTGTTTCAGCAGAGGATCGTGGTTCCTCGAGGTCCGTTGACCGAAGAGGTTATGGCAGAGGGCCATAAGGGCCAATTTTCGATTCACCCTGGTGCTACTAAGATGTATCAAGACCTGAAGAAGAACTTCTGGTGGCCGAGCATGAAGAAAGATGTTGTTGTCTTTGTGTCCAAGTGTTTGGTTTGCTAGAAGGTGAAGATTGAACATCAGAGACCGTCTGGTGAACTTTAACCTCTTGAAGCACCACAGTGGAAGTGGGAAGGTATTTCCATGGACTTCGTGGTGGGATTGCCGAAGACTCAGGCGAGTTGTGACTCTATTTGGGTCATTGTGGATAGACTGACGAAGTCTACCCATTTTCTTCAAGTGAAGGTGAGCTTCACTACATAGCAGTTGGCCAAGCTTTATGTTCGTGAGATTGTGAGGCTTCACAGGGTGCCCGAGAGTATCATTAGTAATAGGGACTCGAAGTTCGCATCTCGGTTCTGGAAGGCGCTGCAGGAGGCTTTTGGTACGTAGTTGAGATTGAGTACCACCTATCACCCTCAGACTGATGGACAGACTGAGAGGATCATCCAGACCTTGGAGGACATGTTGCGAGCTTGCACGATGGAGCAAGGCTCGGCATGGGATAGGTACCTTCCGTTGGTTGAGTTTTCTTACAACAACAGCTTTCATGCTAGCCTGGGCATGGCGCCCTTCGAAGCAATGTATGGTAGGAGGTGTCGGACTCCTACTTGTTGGTCTGAGGTTGGGGACAAGGAGCTTTTTGGCTTGGACTTTGTCCAAGATACCATCTTGCAGATCCAGATGATCCGTGAAAAGTTGAAGCAGGCGCAGAATCGCCAGAAGAGCTACTATGATGTCAAGCATCGTCCGCTGGAGTTCAGTGAGGGTGAGCACGTGTTTGTGAGACTTTCACCTATCACCGGTGTTGGTCGGGCACTCGGAGTGAGGAAGCTGAGCCCGCGATATATTGGGCCATACCAGATACTTGGTAGAGTAGGACCTGTTGCCTACCGGCTTGCCTTGCCTCCGAACTTGGCCAACATCCATGACGTGTTTCACGTGTCTCAACTTTGGAAGTACATAGCAGATCCGTCGCACGTGGTGCTACCGGATGATGTTAAAGAACCACTTCAACCCAAAACATTAAGGTGTTAGGATAGAGCATTTTTAATGATTTATATTATATTCTGTAACATAATAGAATAGGTATCTTCCATTATCTCAAAGTAAGTTTACATAAGACGTCCTATTTATATAACATGATAACAGAAAGTTTGTTACACCAGAAACGAGTTGCACTCTTATCTACACAGCATATCTAAATAACCCATGTGATCCTATTTATCCATATCTAAACAACCCATGTGATCTTGACTTGCTTTTTGGTCTTCCAAGATATTGGAGAATCTCCTAACAAGATGAAGTAATCGGTGGTTGATCTTTTGGTAACGGGGCAACTTGCCCAATCCGAGTCACAAAAGGCTCGTATAGATAAACTAGAGCCAGAGCTCATGAAGAGACCTTGTCCTGAGTTTTGCTTCACATATCGCAGAACTCGGATGACAGCATCAAAATGTTGTTGTTGTGGATTTTGCATAAATTGGGAAAGAGTGTGCACTGCATAACTAAGATCGGGCCTTGTGATAGTCAAATAAACCAACTTCCCAATGAGCCTTCGGTACCTTGCTAGGTCATCATAAGTTGGTCCTGCTGCCAAGGCAAGCTTGTGATTCTGCGCCATAGGTGAAGAAGCCGGTTTGCAGCCGAGAAGACCCGATTCTGTTAATAAATCCATGGCATATTTGCGCTGACTTATGATAATACCAGATGCATTCCGTGCAATCTCGAGCCCTAAGAAGAAATTTAGTGAACCAAGATCTTTAATTTTAAACACAGAACCAAGATAATTTTTAACTTCTTGACATGCAATAGAATTGTTGTCTGCAAGAACTAAATTGTAAGAACCCGCATCGTTAAATAAAGAATTTAACTGATTAATTATGTTAATTTAGGGAATAATTCCATAATTGACCCTAATATTTATTAAGAGGCTTTAATAATTATGATAAGTGATTAAGAATGCTGAAAGTCGCTTTTCGGAAGAAAAGTGCAGATACCGGTTCTGCTAGTCGGTATAAATGCGTACCGAAAAAGTATTCCGGAAAATTATAATAAGTGCATGATAATTACTAGAATAATATATAGGACTTGTAAAACGAGTTTCAAGTCCAAATAATGAGAACTGGTGCCAGAAACTGATACTGGCTATGAAAAATGCGTACCGGAAAGGTGCTCCAAAAAATATAATAAAAATATGATAATTCTTGTAAAATTGTGTAGGTTAAGAATCCAACGTTTGAGATTAAAATGCTAAGCGTAGCAATTAAAGTTTATACTGTGTGTTTAATGCTTAAGTGCCTATATATACCCTTATTAAGGGCACAAAGCCCTAGAAAACTGACTCTATGCATGGGTTCTTGTGGTGGCTGATCAGTTTTGCTCTGTGTTGGTGCTTTCTTCCCCTTGTGTGAGCCTTGTGACCTTCTACCTCCATGATACCTCTTCCTAAACACTTGGTCTTAAGGGTGTGAGTCTTGTGAGCAGAAAAGAGTCACCTTTCTGAGTGTATAAGTTGCTGTTTGGGAGGTTCTTGTTCTGAGTTTGAGACTTTGGAGGAGAGTCATCTTGTTCTTGGTGGTTTAAAGCTCCAAGTAGCTTCCTTGGTGAGGAAAGAACTCATCTTGTTGGTCCATTTTCGTGTACCTGTAGAAACAGTACTTGGAAGGGTTGTTGGTGAGCTCCTTGAGTCATTCTTGCTGAGTTTAAGCTTGTGGTATGATCATCAACCTTGAACTTGAGTTGAAGTGTGTAAAAATGGAACCTTGATGCATGTAATGGTTAAAAGATGATAACCTAATGTTGGGCAATGCTTAACACACCTAGAAATGCATGTGTTAGTGTCTAAAACCGGTAAAAACCCAACCTTTGAAGGATATCTTCGCGAAATATCCAGATATTTAACCGTGAAATATCCGGATATTGATATCCGGATATGAGGATCTGGATATCCGGATATTGATATCCGGATATTGCCAGATAGATATCCGGATATTGGATATCCGGATATGCCCCGAGGAATATCTGGATATCTGGGATTTCGAAGAACAGTAGCGGTGTTGTGTGTACAGTAGGCTATTGGGGGTTTGTGGACCCTAGATTGATGAAGTTGAACTTCTGTAATTAATGAACTAAGTCAGAATTATGTGATTAAGGGCTTGTGGCTTTATTGGAAGCCTTAAGACGTAAATCGTTAAAGGAGAACATAGTCTTTATGTTAATGCTTTTGATCTATGTATGTTGATACACTTGCTGGTCCTAAATCAGATTGTGATCTGCTGTGTGTTGGACTTAAGCAGCGAGAACTCTTGGCATTGGATAGTGAGCTTGTAAGGTAAGCTTTCGTGTCCTCGGTTTAGCTATGTTGTGGTTCCACCATGTCCCATGGGGGTATGGTTATATGCATGCTGTGTTACATGTTTTTGATGTTTTGGAAATGCTATTGAGTTGTTATATGCTAGTGCCTTTATGATATGCATGTGGTGTTCCACCTATACGGTAAGTCTGAGTATGTGGTACATACAAGATGGTGAGGCTGTGGGTGAGGTGCAAGCTGTGTTCCTTGTACTACATGTAGGTATAGACATATTCCTGCATTTCTCTGACCAGTAGAATAGTGATAAATACACATGGCATGAATATCTGTTGCACTGCATAGTTTTGGAACTGATATTGATATAAATGCTTTTAGAACTTATATTGCACATGTAAGTAAGCTTGGGGTGGAAGATCCTTGAGGACCCCTATTCTTACTGAGATTTCTGGTTTAGAGATCTCACCTTACGTTTGGAGAATGCTTATTTCAGGATCAGGTAATGTTGGGGTTGAGGACCCAAGCGACAGGAGGCCGGAGCTGAGTTAGATATTGATGATATTATATGCTGACTTGTTGGATGCTGGATATGCTTGCTGCTTATATGCTTTTAGCTTCATTTTATGATTTTGGATTATCTCGTTGAGACGCTGTTGATTTGGTGAGCATGGGGATTGTCCATGCCACGTAGACTTGTTATGTCTTGTTTTAAGTAGAGTTGTATTAATGTATCATGATAATGTCCGGATTACGTGATGTAATGTCGTGACTTAGATACTCACTTTATTATATATTGAGGTATTTCAGTAGATGTCTTATTGCAATTTACATTCAGGAAATATTTTATGAAATTGATTAAGTAATCAAGTTGGTAATTGATAATGACGTCATAATTAAAAAGAAAAAGAATATTCCGCATTTTTGATTAAGCGTAGCTTAATACGATGTAATGATAACACTACCGGATATATACGGAGTGTTACATAAATCATCCACATAAACAAGTAAAGCAAGAAATACATCCCCTCGTTGGAGTGTAAATAGAGTGAAATAAGCCTTTAACTGTTGTATGAACCCATAGGCTATCAGAGAGGAACTTAGTTTGGCGAACCAATTTCTCGGAGATTGTCATAGGCTATATAATGATTTTTGCAATCTACAAACTTTGTTTGTTGAGCCATTTGTGAAGCCTGGAGGAAACCTCATCTAGACCTCTTCCGAGAGATCCCCATGCAAAAATGCATTGTGGACATCCATTTGGTGCAACTCCCACTTTTTCACAGCAGCAACTGCAAGAAGAGTTCTGACGCTTACCATCTTCGCTACAGGGGAAAATGTCTCATTAAAGTCTTCCCTTTCAATCTGGTTATTTCCAGCTATTACCAGTCTTGCTTTATATCGTTCCACAGATCCGTCGGAGTTAAACTTGATGCGGTATACCCACTTGCAAGGTAATGGGCGTTTTCTTGGTGGGAGATCTGTAATTGTCCATGTATGATTTTCTTCCAGTGCAGTTATTTCTTTCTGCATAGCTTCAACCCATCTTGTATCTGCCATAGCTTCTTTGAAATTGCTTGGCTCCTTTCCTGCATCAACAGCTGCAAGCAAAGCTTTGTGCTTTTCTGAGAATTTTGCACATGAAACACAATTATTAATAGGGTATGGAGTACCTGAGATTGGCCAATGGGTGATATGTGGTGGAGATGTATATGTATCTGCAAGGTTGCATTGGTAGTCTTGTAGGTATGCTGGAGGTTTTTGAACCCTTTGTTTTCTGAATGTACGGTGCAAGTCTATAGAGCTGGACTCAGCTATAACCCCAGATGAAGAGTCAGGTTCGGTAGTTGAAGAGTCAGGTTCAGTAGTTTGTGAACTAGGACTCCCCCAACATCATAGCTCCCCCTATCATTTTGTGTGGTTCTGTCCATTAAGGATTCTTTTTCAGGTACAGTTTCTGGGCACACGATGGCGTCATTATCAGAGGGTGTATGCAAACTGTCATCCACAATGGTAGTAGTAGGCAACAACCCTTGAGTATGCTCATGGCAGCGTTGTTATGATTCCTTGAATGGAAACTCATTTTCATAAAACACAACATCCCGAGACACAAAGACTTTATTTGTTTCAGGATCAAGTACCTTCCAACCTTTTGTATAAAAGGGATATCCGATGAAAACACGTCGTCTGGATCTAGCTGAGAACTTGTCCGTAGGCTTAGGCCTGATTTATGCATAGCACAAGCATCCGAAAGTTCTTAAGTGATTGTTAGATGGAGCATAGCCGTGAAGAAACTCAAAAGGCGTCTTTCCTCCCAGTATCTTGGATGGGGTACGATTTATTAAGTGGGTTGCTGCAAGGACACACTCATCCCAATATTCAATTGGCATTGCAGATTGGAAACGCAAAGCTCTTGCAACGTTCAGTATGTGTCTATGCTTGCGCTCAGCACGTCCGTTTTGCTGCGGAGTGTCTACACAAGAGGTTTGGTGAATTATCCCAAGTTCATCATACAAACACATCAAACTATGAGATTTAAATTCTGTTCCATTATCCGTTCTTATAATTTTCACATGTCGACCATACTGTTTTTGAGTCATTGCAAAGAAGCTCTTTAAACGGTTGTAAGTCTCACCTTTTTCTGCTAATAAATAAGTCCAAACCGATCTACTGAAATCATCTACGATGGTCAAAAAATAGTGAGCGCCATTGGATGAAGTTGTGCGATAAGGCCCCCATAAATCACAGTGAATCAGATCAAACATATTTTTGCTGTGATGTACACTAAAAGGAAAGACAACTTTAGATTGTTTTGCTCGGTGGCATATATCACATACTCTATCATTCATTTTTTTGCCCTTAATACACTCTAATTCTGGAATTAAAAGAAGAGCTTGATCAGATGCGTGTCCGAATCGTCTATGCCATAAATCAAGCTTGTCAAGTATGTGAACTGCAGATACTGTGTTTTGAACGGGTCGATACATGTAAACACCTCCACATTCTTCACCCAAGCCAATCTCTTTCTTCGAGACTAGGTCCTGCAAAACACACATCTTATTAGTAAATTTAATGCTTCTGGTACCATTCTGAAGTAATTGTGCAACTGAAATGAGGTTGCATTTTAAAGTTGGCACAAAGAACACGTTGCTTAGTGTGAGATTTGGTTCAAACTGCAGTGTCCCTCGTTTGGTTGCATGAGTTACAGTACCATTTGGTAATCTTATTGATATAGGTGTTATATTTTCCACCTAGTCAAGCAAATTTAGGGTGCCTGTCATATGCTGGGAAGCCCTGCTATCAACCAACCAAGATGCAGAGTAAGATAAATTTTCAGATACTTTTTATGAGGCTTGTGGTTGCTCCACTAAGGATAGCAGTCGATTGACAATCTCTGGTGTGAGTGCTAAGTGTGTTGATGCGTGTTGTTGATCACAAGTTGCCATTGCTGAATATTGCACTGTGCTTCACATCAACTTTTATCAGAGTTTATTTATGCAAAAGTAATGATCGATAGGCTCTGATACCATAATAGAATAGGTATCTTCCATTATCTCAAAGTAAGTTTACATAAGACGTCATATATATATATATATAAAACATGATATTAGAAAGTTTGTTACACCAGAAACGAGCTGCACTCTTATCTATATAGCATATCTAAACTACCATATCTAAACAACCCATTTGATCCTATTTATTCATATCTAAACAACCCATGTGATTTTTTTATCTCTTTCAGAAATTGAATACATTTCCCATTGTTGATAGCTCTATTACTTTTTGGAAGAGTGACCATTTTACCACACTTGGCAAAAAAAATTACTATACTGTCACGTCAACAGTAAATTTTATCAAAATGCCACGCTGCATCCTTAGCCGTCGTTGAAGAAGTCTGAAAATAATTAAGAGTTAAGATAAGATAATGCGAATTAGTTATATTTTCAGACTTCTTCGACGATGGCTAAGGGTGCAGCGTGGCATTTTGACAAAATTTACTGTTGGCGTGGCAGTCTGATAATTTTTTTTGTCAAGTGTGACAAAATGGTCACTCTTCCTTACTTTTTAGCTATCAAATCATGGTCAGAAAGTACAAAGTTGCCCATTTGCAACATGCTGACTACAGATAAGTTCTTAAGTATTAATTATCAATTTGAAAAAGAAAAATACCCACGTCTTTATTTACAGTAAAATTTTAAAATTTTATTAAATTTATTCGTTATAACATTGCTAATCTGCTATCACCTACCTAAATTAGAAAAAAGTAACTTGATTATTCTACCACCTGTTTATGGTTAATTCTATGTAATTTAAGTAATTTGATCTTGTGAATATGTATTATTAGTAGAGGCACCACCTAAAAGAGGGGGTTCAATGTGGTAACTGGTAAATAACCTTTCTTAACACGAGTTCAAATTTTAAGAAAATAACTTTTGTAAAATGGTCATACTTTTCTACATATCTATATGAACGGAAATTCGTTTGATAGATAGTACAAAATGGCCAAACCTGTGAAGATTCCTTCAAATTTCACTAAAAACGAAAACAAAGGGGGTCACTTTCACTACTCTAAACAAAATTCATACGAAGAATGATTAAAAATATCCAAGCACAAAAAAAAAAAAACTTATGTTCAATAGGCGAATTGTCCCCATTATTATTATATGATTTTTATTATTGTTGTGGAGATTTCTGAAATGAATCATTTAAATAAGTTAGAAAAAAAATAAATAAAAACAAGAAACTCATGCATTTATATCATTGTCTAGGGGTGGCAATTTGGGTTGACCCGCCCCGACCCGCCCCGCCCCGCCACCAACCCGCCAAAAACGGGGCGGGGCGGGTTGACCCGCCAAAAAATATGGGTTGTAAAAATGAACCCACCCCGTTTTATGGTGGGTTGGCGGGTCAACCCACCAACCCGCCAATTAAAAAAAAATTAATTAAAATTCAAAAATAAATTATATTTTATGAATTTTTTTAATATTATTTTATTTTATTTCACACTTCTCTATATTTTTTTTAGTTTCAATCTTAGATGTATACTAATATTTGTCAAACATTCTTTAGGAATTTATAAATAGATAACATTTGTCATAAATAAAATAGTTATTCTTTATTTTTTCTAGAAAGTACTAAGATAAAAAAAAAATTGAATATCACAAAAATTTAAATACTAATGAAATACTACCTAATTGTAAAAAAATAAAAAAAAATAAAAAAATTTAAAACCCGGCGGGTCAACCCGCCCCGCGGCGGGTTGAACCCGTTTTGACCCACTTCTAGGCGGGGCGGGTTGAGGTGGGTTGGTGGGTTGAAAATCTCAACCCAACCCGCCCCGTTTTGGCGGGTTGGCGGGTTGACCCGCCGGGCTCAACCCATATTGCCACCCCATTGACCTATATAAATGCCAAGGAGCCCCAGGTGCTTTGCACAAAAATTGGCCCACAAGAGTCACGTTTTCTTCCATAATTCAAAAAAAAAAAAAAGGGAAATAATTTTTTTATTATGTAAAAAAATAGTTATCTTATGTTGTAGAAACAAGATTGCAAGTGAGACGATAGAGAGAAAAAAGAAGAAGTAGGATCCACTCATTTTTTATGTGTGTAAAAAATTTAGTTATCTCATGTAAATTGAGATAAATATAATCTTAAAAAAATCAGAGAATTCGAAAGGAATTTAAGGTAATGTTTTAGAGAATTAAATTGGATCAATTTGTGAATTAGGTAGGTATTTAATTCGAATATTATCAAGTTTAATAATAATCTAATCACAAATTTAACTAGTTATAAATTAATTGAATTATATCTACTAAAAAAACTTAATTAAATTATGACTAAAAAATCTCATCAATTCAACATCAGTATAGTTTTAAAACATCGATTTGACCTGAAAATCATCATCCGAGCCCAACATATCAGTTGAATTGTGAGACATTCATGTGCACTTACATGGTTCATAAATTTTCTTTTCACCTAAATTACTGGATCATAAAATCACATATCTTTTAATTATTTAATTAATTAATAACAAACAAAAAATTAAATTTATAATAAAATGGAATAGGAATTTTCATACTGAAATTGTCTCCACTCACTGATTCTCTCTATTTCACACACACACACACTCTGAGTCTGATCCTCATCTGCTTCAAAATCACAAGGTACGCAATCTCTCTCTCTCTCTCTCTCAATTACTCTTATAAATACCAATTTTACAAATGGCATCTTTATCTTCCCTCAGAGCCACCTCACACCGCCTTTCTCAGCTCCGATTCATCACCAAGCCCCACCCTTTCCTTTCCCCTCATTCACTCCCATTCTATTTCTCAATCACCCCCAAAACAAAGGTTCAAAATTCGTGCTTTTCCTCAATGCTTTCAATATCCTTTACTTGTATTGTATGTCTATGTTGTCAATTTTACTTTTTTCTTTTTTGCAGAAATTGAGTCGATTCCGATTATTCTCAATGGCTGCAGAACCGAAGGAGTCACCTGCTAACAACCCCGGTCTCCATGCAACTCCAGATGAAGCTACTAAGGGATACTTTATGCAACAAACTGTGAGCTTTTATCCACCCCATTTTTGTGAATCAACTTTTTATTATTCTTATTTGCATCAGGTGTTTGATTTTGATTTTTTTTTTTTATTTTTTTTTTATGTATTATTTCAATCGCAGATGTTTAGAATCAAAGACCCCAAAGTGAGCCTTGATTTTTATTCTCGCGTTTTGGGCATGTCGTAAGTGATTCATTTCGATACTACAATTTTTGGATTGGTTATTTATTTATTAGTGTTTGGAATTGGACTTCAATTATCGATATCACTGATTTAGGGTCATTAAATTCTCCCATGGTACTGTGTAGCTCTGTTTTTTGAGGATGTTACTATTTAAGTAATTCTTTCATACCGTTCTTTTATTATTTGATATTTCTGTAATGATGTAAAAGATAAACAAGTATAAATAAGCACACTCATAGTATTTTTGAGGTTTCCTTTCTAGTTTGATTGTTTGGTAAGCATAATGTAGCTCCTTTCCGGATGAAGCAAAAATTATGAAGAAGGGGAAAAAAGGGTAAAACGAAGGTTCTTAATCTTAACTCTCCCCCTTTCCATTCTTGCGGTTATTACTGCAGAAGTATATGTGTACTTCCCCTTCTACAGAACTAATGTATTGTGTCTAGTGTAACGCCTATATTCTGTTGCATTGGTCTGATTTTATATGCTCAGAAATTTTATATGTCTATCAACGATATTTAATTTATTTTGAATTTCTTCTTTGATTCACAATGCTGTCACTTTATGAAAGCTGACGGCAGTTTGTTGGTTGGTTTAGTTTGCTTAAGAGATTGGATTTTCCAGAGATGAAGTTCAGCCTGTACTTTGTGGGCTATGAGGTACCACTTATATTGTTTTACCTATTTTCTAGTGAAAACTTAGTTGCATGAAGTGGCTTACTGGATGTGCATCATGCATATGCTGTGCTGGCAATATTAAATTGCTGCTAAACAATTATTAAGTACCTACTATCTCTTAGCTCATATATATAGTTAACTCCTTTGTGTTTTTATTTTCATGGATATGCTCTTGATCATTTATGCACATTTTTATCTGGTTTAGGATACAGCAGAAGCTCCAACTAATCCAGTTGATAGAACAGTTTGGACCTTTGCTCAGAAGGCTACAATTGAACTGACACAGTAAGGACTATAAATTTGTCAAATTTCTTTATGTCAGTGTCTCTTATCTAACAATAAAGTAATGTACAGTAACTGGGGTACTGAAAGTGATCCAGAGTTCAAAGGGTACCACAATGGCAATTCTGAACCTCGCGGCTTTGGTATGTGATATCTCATATAATTTGATACGTATTTGACTTCTAAAGCCTTAGTCCTTTCTTGGCTTGTTGGTTACACTTTGAGTTCGTTATCTGGGAAAAATGTTGACTATTATTCTTGTCTTATTATATAGTCGTGAAGGTTAGGTCCTTATTTGATGCTTTGAGGGTACATGGTTCATGAATTATGTTTAGTTGTGAATACCTTATCTTAAAAATTTCTCTCATAGACTGTGACACAGTGGTAGTGTGTGTTTGTTTCCCTTAATCAGAAATGTGTCGAGAGAGGCATTGATTTTATTTAATGAAGTTAAAAAAGGGAAAATTGCCTAGTGCACAAGGGTCCGCAACTTGAGAGAGTAGGGGTGAGAGTCAATTGTACGCAGTCTTATCTTTGCAATTTTTGCAACGAGGCTGTTTTCTAGACTCGAACCCTTGACCATTCGGTCACAAGGAGCAATCTTATGACTACTCCAAGACTTGTCCTCTATTAAATGATGAAGTTAGTGGACCATAATTTTTTGAATGTTTGTAGCACACAATCGTCAAAAGTGTACATGGGAAGCATTTCCTGCATTGGTTTAGGTAATCTGATTTGCATTCTTTTAGGTTCAGATTTACTTTTTACCCTCAGTTATACATGTTATACCAAAAACATAACAAAAAAAAGCTAAAGCATACCTACGTACTAGCTGTTAAGAAGTTGTTGTTCGCGTTAGGGGATCCTCATCACTTTTATTTGCGAGTTATCAATGTTTTTGAGTTTTTATGAATTACCCCAAAAATGCAGATAGACTAAAAATTTGTATTTTTCTCAGCCTCTCTGGTGACCTAGATTTCATGTCACTAACGTGTCTGTAATTATTTTTTACTGTTATTTTCTGGCTATATTTTTCACTGTTAGTTTTCCTGTAATTAACATGGCTGTAATTAACTTTTTTTATTCCACAGCTGTTTACTGGATATATTCATACTGTTCTTTGTCTTATCGGGATAAATAGGAATTGAATTCTAATAATAAGTTGTCTTTCTGTTTGCAGGACACATTGGCATAACTGTTGATGACACCTACAAGGCATGTGAAAGATTTCAGAATCTGGGAGTTGAGTTTGTTAAGAAACTAGATGATGGTAACAATCTTTATTCTTATTCATTCTAGCAGTGATACTATGTTATGAATATGTCATGGTCATTTTTAACAGCTATGGATGATTTGTGTTTGAGATTGGTTATACGGGAGATAACTATCTAAATTATTTTTGTTCCCTACATGACATAATATTTTGTTTGTTTGGGTTTGATTAATTCCTGTGCATGGTGACTTCTATGTTAATAGATATTTCAGGGATAAATCGGGTGTGAAATATTTATTAAAGTGGCTAGAAGCTCAAGGATGGAATCTAATTTTTAAAAACTTGGGTTTGAATTAAATAGGCTAGTTGTTATTTTGCTTAATACTTGTCATTCATGTCTGAGTATCTCGGGATTAAATGTAATTATTCCAAGAATACTTTTAGTTTGTTGAAAGACCTTCCCTGCCTTGGTATTAAACAAAAAAAAAAAAAAAACTTTTCCTTCCAAGAGAGAGAGAGAGAGAGAGAGGAAAAGTTTTGTTTAGGCTTTCTCATCTTGTACTTTTAAATAAAAAGTGCAAGAGATGGGATATGGTCATAGACACATAGTAACTCTGGTAGGTTATCTAATTAACAAAACATAATTATCATGCTGTCATGCTGTGTAACAATTTGAACCACAAGACACCAAAAGTTGGCCACTGCACAGCTGCTGGTGCCACTGTTACCTGGTGTTTGTGGTGGTACAACCATCAAAGAAAATTGAGCATATGTTAATGGTGCACAAATATCTCTGAATTGTTGGCTGCTATTTTTGAGAAAGTAACTTATGATGCACAAATATTAAATGTTAATGATGAAGGACTGAACTCTGCTGATTCCTTCAGGGAAATTCCCCACCATTAATGCTTCAATCATGAACTTTGAACTTTTCTTTATTTTTTAAGTAATTTTCTGCAGGGAAAATGAAAGGGATTGCATTTATTAAGGATCCTGATGGATACTGGATTGAAATATTTGATAAAAAAACAATTGGAAATTTAACACAAGCTGCTGCTTAAGACAAGACCTTCAGGTAAACTCCCTGGTTTTCCATTCCCATGCCTCCATTTACGTATTTATGTTTTACCTACTGAATCTAATGCTGTCTCTTACAAAATAATCTCTCTGATATAAGAACTCGGTTACATGCGTGTCAAATTTTGTTTCATTACACTGAATTATGCATATCCATGTCAAACTCCTCTTTCTCCAAATGTGTGTGCTATCTGCATATCTAGTTCAGGAACAATAAACCACTCAATTTTGTAGTTCGACTTCTCTTTGGAACAACTGTTTTGAGATTTTAAGTGCTCAATGGATGGGTCTCTCCCCTTGGTAAAAACAAGGATGCAAACAGAAAAATCTCCTATTAAGCTTATCTCTAAACTGAGCAAATAAGGTGTATCCACCCTTTAGATCATTTAGTGCGTTAAGGTCACGATGCTCTAGTGTTTTCACATACTATATGCTTTTGGAATTAATTCTTCTCGTTTCTGTTGCTGGCCCGGCTTTTGTGTTATACGGTTTCATGTCTTTGCAGATTTACTGTGAATTTGGGACACAGCTACGATGTATAATTGACCAATTGCTTTTGAAGTGGCTCGTATTTGTCAAACTTTCCGTTAAGAATGAATAATTTGTAGTCAAAACTGAGTACCAAGGATTGTGTTATGAATCCTATGTTTTTATTCGAAATGCCTTATAATTGCTCGATAATAGATTTTGAGGGTGTCTGCTATCAATCGGACAAGATGATACATTTTTGTATGTGCGTCGTGTTATTAATGGCATGGGAAAATGTTTTGTACTTTTAAAGGAACTAAGTTATGTTCTTTCACCCCCTTATAACTATGTATTCTGTGGAATACATAGTTATAATATTAAAGTTGTATTTTTTTTCACTTTTCACGTCAGCCGACAGCTTTTGAAGAGGAAAAAAGAACAAATACAACTTTAATATTTAACTATGTACTTCGGGAAGTAAATAGTTATAAAGGCGTAAAATGACATAACTTGGGTACTTGGACAAACAATTTTTTCCCTAATGGCATATATAAACTCTAGTCAGATATTTTGCACATGTTATAAGCTAGCTTACATGTTGAGAACTAAAGATCATATAAATTGTTCAACTAGTAAGGAGCTTAGGAGCGTGTTTCCTTTAGGGTGTGTTTGGTAGAGGAGAAATTTTTTTATGTTTGGGAATTACGATTACCAGGAATATGTTGGAAAAGTTATTTTTCTGGGAATGTGACTGTTACGAGTCTCACATTGGTTATTGGTTGCCCATGCAGGTCTCGAACCTGCATGGGCAACCAATGTGGGACTTGTAACAGTGATCAAAAAGCTGTTTGGTATATCAAAATATTACTGGGAATGTTGGCTCAAGTTTCCTGATTTCATGTTTGATTGATTATCAAATATTACTGAGAATGTGAATGATTTTACGAAACTAACCTTTATATTCTCAATTAACCCATCATTTTTAATTAAATCAAAAAACAAAATTTAGTATTGTGTTCCTCTCCGACGAACAAAAACACTGCCTAGGATTTTCAGAATAGCATGACTGTGAACCTTGTGGAGAAAATGGACTCCCGTTTGATGATATACTGGCATAGGAAGGGGAATCACAACCCATGAAACCAGTGGTTACTGGGGATGATTTCAGGGTAAACTATTGCTCCTTGCAGGTTTCAAAAGAAGCAGTAGTACCTTGGCTGCTGCTGCTATCATGGATATCACGGCATAGATTGTTTTGTAATATTTGGTAAATGCCTTGCATAGGCTGGTGATGGAAGTGGATACCAGCTGAATTTGGGTGTTTCTTAGACATTTGCATCTTGAAAAAATTATTACTCAACGGAAAAAAAGTAATCAGAATAACAAGTAGTCAATCTTTCTAATTGTGAAGGTTCTTCTCATTGGTCATGCAGAGAACTTAGCAGTACAGTTTTGCACAATACTTGTCATCCCCATTTTGATAAGCTGCTAGATGCAATAATTATCAGCAAAGTTGGGGGGCGAAGGGTTTTTTGGTCTGAAAAATTATTCAGTATTTTTCCTCTGGGTTTTTAAGAATACCATATGGGAGATAGTATTATTCATTGGGAATTTTCTTCACATTCTAGAATCCCGGAAAAGCAAGAAATTCAGGAAAATTTTACACTTCCTTGTATCAAACATGGATATCTCAGATTACCAACTTAAGTTTTCTGGGATTTTAAATTTTATCTTCCTATCAAACACTTAGTAGAGTGATAACAGCTCGGTAAAAGAATTGAGAATAGTGAGGATAGCATCGTTCAAATCTTTGTTAATTCTTTTCGTTGATTTTTCTTAAACTTTCTGCTTCCGTCCCCTTTTCAAAGTCCCCCCAATAGAGGTTTCAAATCCCTTTCACTATATCATGCTAATGTGTCTTGGATGATTTACATCTCAGGGAGCACATTGAACTATCCACCTGGCTCCGCAATTATTCGGGGCTACTTTGGGGTTCTCCTAATGGTGTTTGGATAATGGCGATTCTTGCATGAATAGTGTTCCACAGAAAAATGTGATAAAATTCAAATAAAATTTGTCAAGATTCAAGATTGGTGTTTGGATAAGTTAAAGCAGCGAGAATTGTTTATTTATCTGAGGGTCAGTAATAATGGCTACTCAACCGAACAGCAATTGTTCGACCAACAATACATTAAACAGATAATAAAACAACATTAACAATAGTTTTTTTTTCATAAAAAAATGGGGGGCAAAGCCCAAAGAAATGAAACAGCTAAGGGGAAGGAAAAAAAGAGGTAAGGAGACCCAACAAGTTATAAGAAATCATCCTAGACAAAATCCTTAGAGGGTTCGTTAAGTCCATATATAATTTAAAATAAAAACCCAATATAGTATTGTTATGTGAATTCCCACTTTTATTGCTATGAATATTCATTAAAAATTGAAACTTATATTTGACTGAGATTTGGTTATAAGAAAACCTGTATCTAATTAGGATTTGATTTAATTTTACGGTTTTAGTTACCTTACCCTTAAGAGTATAAATACACCTTTCCTGCCTTATATAATAAATACTGATATTAATCATTAATTGCCTTTTTCTCTCCCTATTTCTTCTCTATCATTTATTACATTTATTTTTATTTTTATAGCAGGTTATCAGCATCATTTTTTTTTTCTCACAAATTTTAAATAGCTTTTCTAATATAAAAATAACACGTTAACTTTTTTACAACTCTGTGCATGACAGACTTATTATTTCAACTCTAGTTTTTTTTTTTTTTTTTTTTTTTTTGAAAGAGTTTTATTGGGGTTAATTCATCAACAAACATATACTATACTGTTAAAAAGTATTTCATTTTCGATACATTTTTTCATATACTAAACAAACTCATCATAAGGAAAAAGCATGACAGACTTACTATGCTTATATGCTTTTGATGATATCAATAAGATAATCTATTTAAATAGTAACGTAAGTATTTCTTTTAACAACAAAAGCTTAGCACGAACTTTCTTCAGATACTTACTGATTGTGCATTATAGTTTTTTGATGTGCGATCTCAGCACAGACTGCAAACCTGTCTTCTCTGGTAAAGTAGTCAGAAGAGACAAGATCTTGAGACTTGAGAGGTGCAACCAGTCCCGAGAAACTCATGATTATGACTATATGAAAATGAAAAGAAGCCTTTGCTCTCCATTCATAATCAGAAGTCAATGCAGCAGCTTGACTTGTCAAAAGTAAAATGCTCAAGGGAACTCTCTTTTCCAATACATCTATGACCAATTGAAATTTTAAATTATGAAAAGGCATGCTAAATTTCAACATGAGGATCTATTTTCATATAGATTTTTCTGAATTTTATATGATCGGATGATATAAGTTTTTTTATGTCTATCTCTTTTATTATATATATTAAATAAGTGGGTCCAATTATTAATAATGAAGAAAGAGATAAATATAAAAATTTTACATGACCAAATGATATGAAATTTTAACATGATCTATTCTCATCCTTACATTGATCTAGAATCGGCTGTATCTCTTTGTTTATATACCTGTACAATCTATTTATTGTTTGTAACATTTTAAGTGCGAATAAAAAAAAGATGCTAAGTGATCCAAACTTATTATAGAGGCCAATTGTAATAAGGCCCAAAGGGCCCATGCGACATAGTCACGTAGATAGACTATCTCGCAAATAGACTATCTCGCAGAAGAAGCATGAATCTCGTTACATACTTGCCCACTAAGTCAATATGACTTAACTTTGAAGAAATCATCATTGTCGTGATCAACAACTTAGGCAAAACGGCCACAACTAGGGACCGATGAAAGGATGACAGATCCAGCTTGCTATTGCTCACTAAGAAATAGCCTTAGAGAGACCAGCCCTCTCCACCAATTAACACTGCCTCTTGAAGGATGATGGTAAGCATGGCGCTCGGACACTATAAATATAGAGGCCATTGGCCCAGGTATAATATTTCTTTTTGAATACTTGAACCTCCTTAGATATTAAATTGACCTAAGCGTCATAGTGCCTTTGCAGGTACCTTCAAAATCTCTCATTCAACCAAGAGAAGCAAAAATGCTGTCCAACTATATCGGAGCACATAATACCAGCTCGTCAGGCTTCCAAGAATCTCAGCAACATCATCTACCTTTAACGGTGTGTAGTTAGGCCCAGCCCAATTGGTATTGGACTGATCACTAAACATGATTATAAAAAAGGATAAAATTATAGGAGAAATAAAGTGTAATTTATTCTTAAATTTATTTTATTTTATATAATTATACTGTACGATAACAAAAATGATTGACTTAAATATTTAAAAATATATGTCTATTTAATTTTTAATCGCAAATCCTAGCTCTACCATGTATATGGTATCTGTCACAGTCCAATTAATTAAAGAATGAGAGAGAGCTCATTAATGTTCTAGACTTTTAGTAAGTCGTCGACAATTGAACTTTCCGAGCGAGGAACAAATGAAACGATTAATTAGTCAAATTGTGTTTGGTTTGCTTTTTTACCAATGCGTATGAACGTAATTTAATTACATTTGAATAAGAATACTTATAAATGTTTTAGTTTACTTTATACACTCAAACTCTTTTAAGTATTTTCCACTTTGTTCGTCGTTCAATGCATTACATGTGGAAAATATTCTATGAACAGGTTGAAACTGTGTCCAATGAATAAAATAAAATAACTCATGATGTGATGACAGATTTCTCTCTATATGTATATAGGTCGTAGACAATAGTCAATCAGAGTCCACCAGCTGGATGGTTAAGACCTGAAACAGCTATTCAGTTAGGTAAATCTTTCTCGTTGGTTGACAACTAATACCTTCTTAATAATTCATCATTAATTAATCATATCAGGGTTGAAACTAGGGTTCACACATATAATTTGAGTTTACTGGTCATAACGTCGCAGCCATTGGATGTCGTCAAATTTAAAGGATATGTAGTTCTAGATAAATTATTTGGAAGTGGCGTTATATAACGGGAGCATAAATCAGAATTCTAACTATCCTCTTCAGTATTATATTTGAGAGGGATTTAAAGTCTTTATTTTAGAATTCATTCCATTTCAAACTCATCGCAAAGTGATGAACCGATTGAAATATCTCAAAAAAAAAAATTAATATTCTGACTTTTTTCAGTGGCATCAATATTTGCATGTTTTCTACTAAGATGAAATTGAGGGTAAGTGGTGCGAGGACAATACAAGTATAAGCACCTTTTAACTAATTTATAGATTCAAGGGGGGAATTTTATGCCTCTTTCTCGACAGCCATCACCACAAGGTCTCGTATCGATCCAGTTGATTACTCCTTATCATATCATAACAGTGCAATATAATTCACACGGAAACATACGTAAGATAGCTAATGCTATCCAAGAAGACTCACTTGAATCTTAATCCCTACTAACATTAATTTTTATTTTTATTTGGTGAAAAACTAACATTAATTTAAACTAGAACAAATACGTCTAGTAGTAAAAT